TTTATTCTCTTTCGTTTCGTTCCTGTTTTGGCTTCTCCCCAAAGAGTTAAAAAAAAATCTGTGTAATAAGATACAATATAGATATACATTTGAAAGATGGTTACAAGTAATAAAAAATAATTAAAACTTGTAATTTTATTAAAATTTTCATCTTTATGTATATTGAAATAAATGAAATGGAAATGTTGCTTTTTCCACTCGAGCGAGTTAATAAAAAACGCAGTCGGAATCCATTTGGGGCGCCGGCGTACATCTTTCTTCTGCGGTCCTTTTCTCAGCTTCGTAATTTTTTCCCGTCTGGCTAGTGTACGTCCACACATAGACTTTTACCTACACTTACTTTTGCTAACCAAGAAAGGTGTTTTTCTGGTTTTCCTGGTGGCCGTGTGTCTTCCTGACACTCGACGCTTGTGAACGTGCGGCGTTGCTAAAGTCTTATCGTACATTCTTCTGTTCGTTTACTGTTCGACGATGAAATAGCTAGGGTAGACGTGAGCGTTAAACGTGGGGCGGTGAGGGGTGGTAGCTTCTGTGGATGCTTGTTATGCACAATATCTCTTCCTCTCGGCGCGCGGCACGTCCGCGCCACGTTAAGCTGACATATTATTTTCTTTCCCAAGCGTGCGAAACGCGAACGACGAGAATTAACGACCGCAGAGCGCGATGATGCATCGTGCCAGACAATTGCGCGCTCTGCCATGCTTATTTGATGCAATTTTATGCGGGGGCGGTAAAGGAATTGGCACTTTTGAAAATTACATTCTTATTTTTTTGTATTTTATTCTAAGTGACGAAGTAAATTTATCATGGAATATTTTTTTATGGAAAAAAATTTATAACGTATTACACAGACGTCAAGTGAAAAGCGAAAGCCGAAAGCAAAACCACTTAGAGTGTGCATAAATAGTGCTCGCTGATCACGCCTTTGCCATTGCCGAGTTTGCCTGCCAACCCCTACACAAACCGAGTGGAATTAATTAAAAAGTTTCCAACTTTTAGTGGCGCTCCGGCCGTTGTAATGTCGGCATAAAGTAGCTTTAATTGGTCTCGACGACCTTAGAACTCGATTTTACTCCCAAACACACATCTAATACATGACTCTACACGGTTGCAAAATAAATAATTTACATGTAAATATAGTGTGTTTTTTCTGTGTATTGATTCAGGCCCGTAACTATTGTATCTCAATTTTATTTTTACTCGTGTGGACTTTGCGGCAAGTTTGTTTGAGAAAGGACCAGTTGATGAACATTTCGGGAGCGAGAGTGTGTTGGTTCACTAGGGATGAAGATGGATTTGTATTGTTTCACGTCGGATGCAATAAGTTGAGCCATTATTGAAAGGGTTTAACAGTCGAGGGTGCGCCCGAGCGTGTTTGGGGACTATTGTGGATTGCGGTCCTATTGTGTCTGGGATTTGACCTGACTCCAACAATTAAAAATTAACAAAGTGACAATTAGTCTGGCGGAATGGTATTGAGTTTTTGCATAGGGGACTTTAACTAACATTCACATTGATTAATTATTATAATACTAAAATATGTTTTGATTTATTTTGCATGAAAATGTATTTTTATGAATATTTAAAAATGATAGTGTTTTAATGGGATAATATAACAGACCCCTAGTGGATTTTGCACCAAATCCTTTCCCACTACTAATTAAGAATTAAAGTTGATCCCATTTGCGTTCATCGGAGCGCAAGCGATTCCCTCTTGAAACGTGTTACTCGCGGGCGTCGCGTCGACTTGATTATTGCCACCGGGCGCGCGCGCTTGCAGTGCGGCAAAGTTGTTAATTAAGTTAAAAGTTAAACTTTGTGCAATAACACTCGCGGCAATTGCGTGCGATATGCTCCCGTGCGCTACGCTTGCATACCCCAGTCCCACATGCTAACCATCGGCGCTCCAGCGCGACTGAACTTGCGATGGATTAAACCGTCTTCGCCACTTGTTATAATCCGACACCGGCGTGGGACAATAAATCATCCACAGTGTTCTGTGCGGGGGCTGGGGATGGAGGCGTGCCGCGCGTTTACGCGTTTATTTCGCTACGCAGTAACGTTTCCACACCCTCTTTCTGCACAAAATGTGTGAAGACTGAAAAAGAGACGTTACACACTGGATTTTCTCGAGTTGGAGTATTCGCCGGGCAAAAAAAGCTTTAAAAGAAGATTTTCTTTTTTTCACTACTGTGGGGTAGTCGTGAACGGATGCGGGTGAAAAACTATCAATTTTCCAATTTTTAGCAGCGTTTCGACGCACTTGGGGTTGTGAGAGGTTGGTGGGACCATTTAACATCGCCGGCGTTTTACAAATGTTCCGCTGCCTTTTCCAATTTACAAAATAATTACGTTACCCTCAGCTCGGAGGCAGAACCTTACCGCATGCATGTTTGGAGGCCAAGAAGAGCAAGTCTTCATTTACATAAATCAAATTTGTTCGCTCTTTTTCTAAAGCGATTTTTTTCTAAACTTTTTTCATTTTACTTTATTTATGATCATGTCATTTGTGTTTAATTTTCAAAGTGTTTTCGACGATTTTTAATTCACATTTTTGTGGTGTTGTATTCTCATACTCACCGTTGACTTGTGTGATAGATGTTACATCTGTTTGTACATCCATCAAGCGCAATGTGTAACTTTCAACACCAAGGGAAAAAGGTTAGTGGGCAAAACTCACGCTCTCGCAATCTGCGCGTCTTCATCGCTTCAAACGGCCGGTGTTCAGTGGGAGATAAGTGCTTGGAGGGCTAAATTTTAGTTTGTTCCAACCGGAGAAGCTCTCAGCTCAGCCTGCAAAGCTCAAAGCTCGAAGTTCGTGAGGTCGAGGTAATTCGCCAAAGCGATTCAAGACACGTTCTACACTTACATGGAAAAACAACGAAAAACAACATTTTACTAATAGCGATTGAAAGCATTTTTAAAGCTAACGCTCTACTAGTAGCTACTTTAATACAATCGAAGGATTAATGATGTTTAATCAAGTTGGATGGTAAATTAATGAGGCCGTGAGCGTCGACTTTGGCCTTCGCAGCGCCTTTGGCGTGTGCGCGAGACGTGTCGGATTTAAAGCGCTTAAGGAACTCTTATAAAATTCATTGAAAGACTTTAAACTACTAACGACGCCTAGGCGCGCCGCGAAGCACGGATGCACCACTCATTGTCCTTCGTCTTTTACTTCATGGAGCGTTCCGCTTTTGCGGGCGGCGTTGAACTGCTTCCAAAGCCTCATTTGTTTGCTCGAGTAGCTAAATATTTAATAGGGAAGTGAACTTGCTTCAATCTGTGTGCCCAACAAAAAAGAATTTCAACCAACTTGATTAAGTCTGTGAGACTCTGTGGAATATTTCAATTTTAAAGCAGTTAATTCAATTAATCCGGCGCGTTCTTTGATGTTGAAGTTAATCGGAGATATGATCACATAAAAAGTAAATACTTGGCTGGTTCTGGCTGCGTTGAAATGTCGCCAACAGAAATCGCGATGTAATAGATTTTCGTAGAAAATTGAACGCTGAAAAGGCGCGCCTTGAGGGCTTGATTTCCTCGCTTTTAACCGTTGCACAACGCCGGCAAGCAGCGAATCCTTATCGAATCCGCGGCTTATCTTTATCGAGCAAATGCCCACCGACTCACTCGTACCAATCTGCAGATAAATTCAGCGTAATTGAATTGTAAAACATCTCAACCAGACCGAGATTTAAATTAATTTTCATCGGAATATGAAATAAAAAATGAGCTACAAAAAATTTTTGTTCAGGATGATTTTTGTTTGGAATTTGCGGATAACAAGGTAGTTTTGCAACTGTTTGAAACTTGTGGTAACACACCCTCTCAAACAATGAGTTAGTGAAAGATGAGTTGGTTCGTTGGCCAGTTCGCGAAGTTTTTCCATGCGTCAGGTATGTGTTTGTGTGTGTGTACGTGCTTACTACAGGGGGAGCGCTGGTTTTCATTTCCATTTTCCGAGCGCTACCGAAATGTAAACCGGCGCATTCGCGCATTGTTTCGTGCATGAATAGATTCCACTCGAGTTCCGCTTTCGCAACCGCGCTTTGTTCGCTCGCATATTTCCCACATATCTATTCATATCCATGCGAGTATTCACCTTCAAATTCGTTACATTTAATGGTCGTTTGGAGCAAAAATTCGAGGAATTTTAATATTTGTTCATCAAATTACTGAATTTGATTAAATTTGGTTGTGGTTGTGGTTTTTGTCTTGTTTCGGATCTGTTGCTTGATGCATGTTTCTTGTTGCGCCACAATGTGTCGCATGCATGTATGATTTATCTCTCGTGTTGACATTCGTCTGCGGTTCCAACCGCGCGCTTGCATCGCGACGATGTTTCATGTTTAACATTTGCGCCCGGCGCCTTCACCATCGCGCTCTGTGATGTGCAGCAGGACAAAAATGACGCTGCCGCAAACTTTGCTCTTTGTCCGCATGAATGATGCAAATGATCATGCATTCACATCACGTGCGTTTTTTGCGCTGTAAAAACCCATTTTTTACCTTTACGCTCGCGAGAGCAAACAAAACATTGCACAATAAAAGGCAGCGCATGCGGGAAAAAACCGTCACATTAGTGAGTTTAAGAGGAGATTAGTGCACGCTAATGCACACACAAAAAGAAACAAACTCTCTGGTTAATGCCCGTACGATCATTTTTTTGTGTCCGAGTAGTGAGAATATTTGCTAGAGAGATTCGTATAATGAGGGTCACTTTGGACTGGCTCCAGATGGGCAATTAACACGCGCCCGCCCATCATCCGCACGTCAAGTGACACTTTGAGCGCGTGAAAGTTAGCAAACAGCGTCCTTTCATCGGTCGATTACGTCGTTGCCACAAATTTTCGACGGTGTCAAACTTTTGCTCTTTGCGCAAACGAGGTGCGAACACATGGCGCTAATAACATGCAATTTAAAAGTCGATTAAAGTCGTCTTGCTTGTGACACTTTGACAGTTTCTTACCGTCTAAATAAATGATTTTTTGTTGCAGATTTCGTCATTGGTGGAGACGCATGCCAGCGCCGGTGGGCTTAGGCCGTCGGCGGTGGCGAGGGTCGGGCAGGCGGTGAATATGGCCGTTGACCGATTCGTCACCGTCGGCGAAACCATCGCTGACGACTACGTCGAAGTGCGGCAGGGCATGTACGAGGCGTGTAAGGAAGCGCGACAGGCCGGTGAGTATCCCTTTAGCGACGACCTTTTTCAACCTCTAATTTTCATCCATGATGGGTTTTCTGCTTAGCAAAAGATATTTTATTTTATTTCACATAAACGAGTAACTTTTGAGCAAAATTCTCTCGTCCGGAGATTACAGTCCTGGCAAATTTCCGTCGTCTTGGCAAAAATGCCTGCGAACCGAAACGTTTTTGTCGGTCGCCGGCTCGACGAGGTCGGACCTCGAAACATTTTTCTGTGCGTCTCGCAGCCACACACTCGTTGTTCATCCTTTTTCGGCTAACGGCCAAGGCTTGTGAACTGTGGTCCTTTGAAAATCGTTTTTGGGATGACGGATACGTGCGCGTGGACCGCTTTCCCAGCCCTGCTTATCTAATTAATGAGCCTGTCTCGAACATATTTTGTGGCAATTTCACGCAGACATATTTTCACTTAGAGGCCGGCGTACTTGTTGGACAAGCAGCGCACCCATTTATTTATTTTGATTTCATATTAATATCTACATAGATTCATATTTGGCTTGAATAATTTTACATAATGGAGGATGCTAACTATACATTGGTTTATTATTAATACTTGCGCGATTTTTAATTAAGCCCGAATGGGCTGCTATTCTTGGCATAATGGAGCCGACTGCTTAGGCCGTAGCATTAATTAATCCTGCCGCATCTCCCTGTGCTTTCACCTGGATGCTTTTTTAACATTGTAGGAGAAATATGAGAATTTCACGGCGTATTCTTGCATAACGCGGATGCCGATGCAACTATCCATGGCTTTTTTTCGCCTTTTGCGCTTTAATTAGAAATTTCAAAACCTTCAAGTAACAATGAATTTAATTAAAGCGTCATTAATCACTTTTGCGCAAAAGTGCTCGCGACAGAAGTCAGCCCAAAAAAATGTCCTTCGTCGCTGTCGTTGGCGATGTTGTTAATGAGAAATTCAATGCTCACTTAAAACTTGGAAAGTGCCGACAAAAAAAAATTGGTTAATTTGCTTTGCAAATGAGCGCGACGTCCGAATTTTGCACAAAGTTAGAAACGTTCTTGAAAGTTTGATTCATCTTTTTTTGCTCATTGGAATTTTTCCCTGTTCCAGGAAGTGCGATCGAGCGGATATGCGAGGAAGCCGATGTCGAGGTCGGATCCGACCGGAGCACGCTGGTACGCGAGGCGAGATGTCTTCTCGGAGCTATAACGCGTGTTTTATTGCTTGCTGACATCGTCGTCGTCAAGCAATTACTATTGGCCAAAGATAAGGTAACGTGCAATTTATGCCCCTCTTAATAAAGCGTGTAAACATTGTACACTCTGGTTAACAACTAAAGTAAACACACATGCGGGTCTATTTATACCGCAACTCAACGCAAAGGACTTCTCTAGGGGGCGTGGTGTGTTTGCACATGCGCAACGTTATTACACCCATTTGTACACGACAAATGTTTACAGCAATGTTATGACCCAGAGTGGTTATGTGCGATGATGGAAAGCACGCCACTAAATTAACTTCCCGCATCATTTATCGTCGATATCCCGGAGTCGGCATGAAAAAAACAGAACGCGCTTTGTTTTTATGCATCCCGCAGAGATAGCAGCGATAAATTTTCATATTAATATCGCTCGTCTGTTACAAATTGCGCGTTTTACGATCGCGTCCTGTCATTGCGAAGGGAAGTCGATAAACGCAAACGACCGCCGCTGCTGCTAGGGCTCCGGCTGTGCGGCCGCACAAAAAGCGACTTGATGTTCTTTACAGGTCAAAAGTTTTCTTCAATGCGTACGCGTGCGTTTGTAACGACCCGCGCCCGGCGTCGACATACATGTTGGCCGCCACTTGGAGGCGACTGGAACATAAATTACTATTGAATGTACAGAATAGATCCATTAGATTGGAACAAAGTAGTGCGCTTTAGTCTGACGCCGTCGCAAATTTCATAGAACAAAAAGCAGGCGACGCGTGCCCGTCGTTCGGTTTCAATCATGTTTTGTTCAAAATCACTTCACACTTTGCCGCCGGGCCTCGTTTCCATTTTTTTCTCTTGTGTGTGACATAACGCGTGAAAACCTCGTAAATTTCAAACGACAATGGAATGCGAGGGTCTCACTCCGTGGATTCTATTTTATTGCATTGAAGGACGCATCTCATCTACACGCACCGGAGATTGAATCGAATTGAATCCCAGAAAAGGCACAACCACGAAAAACCTTTTTTTATCTCTCTTATTGTCATCGTTCTAAGTAGTGACTGCTTTTCACTATAAAGTTTAGTAATTTACATACCTCTTGATTTGGTGGTTCACAGGTGCAACGTAGTTTAGACCGATTGGAATCGGTGAATAACTTTACGGAGTTTGTGAAAGCGTTCAGCCATTTCGGGTCCGAAATGGTCGAGCTGGCTCATCTTACCGGGGACAGGCAGAACGACTTGAAGGACGAGCGACGGCGAGCGCAAATGGCCGCTGCTAGGCAGGTCCTCGAGAGATCTACGATGATGTTATTAACGTCGAGTAAAGTGAGTGATCATTATTTTATTCCTTAAAAAATATACATCTGAAAGATTATATCTACGATCTGCTCGTGATAAGTCGCAACGAATTTGTCAGGGAATTGTCTCGAAGCTCTTGAGACGACGCGTCGTCGTCAAGAGAGTATCAGCATCGTCGGCTTATAAAAGGGGATTAGAGTCACTTAAAATTTGTACAAACAGTCGTTACCCTAACTTGCAAACTAATTGGATGTATTAATCACTTGCAAACAGTTCAAACGGAATTCTGCGCGAGGACTGTACATGTGGGCGTGGTTAAAGGAACGCACGCGCTTTAATTAGGCCACCATTATACGTTATGAATTATTAACATGGTGAATCTTGTTTTATTAATACAGAATCGATAATAACCGAGTTAAATTACTTGGTATGTTTGAAAATTATCGTTTATTGGATTCACATCCGCGTTGACAATGTAGGATATGTGAATTTACAATGTTGGGATACGCGGTTTTATTGTTTTAAATTGTCATTAGCCGTAAGCCTGATTGTTCTCGTCAGATGCGTGTTTTTAGTCCGATGGAATGCTCGACACGCCATTCATTGGGACACGAGATGAATATGCATGTTATATGCGCGATTCGGAAATGTGGCACAATTTGAATTTAGGGGTGCCGAATGCGTTGACACGTAATTTCCAACGACGATAATTCACGTTTAGAGATGGCAGCCACCCGGCGGTTGTGTCGAACGTATTCGATATTAATAAATCACGCGTGGAAAAATGCGAAGAGCTGTAAAATTTGTGAGGAATGGTAATAAATTCCAGCAGGGCGATAATTTGCGGAATCACAATGCGTGAACGACAATTACCAGGCATCGACGGCACCTTGTTCGATTGGTTAATTCATGTGTGACTTTCATTGTGTGCAGGCTACGCTCCGGCATCCCGATAGTTCGACGGCGCGCGAGAATCGCGATACCGTCTTCTGTCAGATGCGACGCGCCATGGACCTCATCCACTTTGTCGTCAAGGACGGCGTGCTCAATTCCGCCATGGAAGCGTCGCCGCCGTGCCACAAGGAGGAGCTGGACGTCGACCGAGGGACTTTCAATTCGTGCATGCGAAACCTGCAACATCTATTGGAACTCAGTCGGGTTACACTAGGTACGAGAGCCAAATCTAATAAAGTACCAATGACAAGTTTTTGCGGTAGCACCTGTTGTCACAGAACAATGCGCATTAGTCGCATTCGCCTGAAAGTTATTTCGCTTTCCAAAGCGCCACTCGAAATCTACTCTTACAAATTCCAAGTTGTCGCCGCGCTTGGCTGGCGAAACAATGGATTTGTCGGCGAGCAGCGAGATCGTAATCAATTGCGCTCGCCGCGTCGTAATTAATTTCGGCTCTCATTGTTTAGACGGTTCGTGTCACGATTCACAGACAGTGCCTACACCAGCCACGAGCATCGCCAGGCTATCTTAGATACCAGCGACCGACTTCGGAACGAATTGGACCACTTATTAGGATTATACGCCAACGTGGTGAGTATCTCAAAATGGAATCCACACCAATCCGCACGGAAAAACCGTTATCATCAGACTTGGTAATTTTCGGGCGCAAGACGCGGTGCAAAATCGATATCAAATTTACTTACCACGGCTTTTCTTCTTGTTCTTGCGTTTTGCCACATACATAACACGATATTATCTTCGCATAATGCTAAAATGCACCGAGGCGCTGAGCTATTTTGCATTTAATTAAAAATACTTGGCGCGTCGCCTACAGTCGAAATTTTAATTTAATCACAACGCCATCGGGGGCCTTAATTAAAACGCTATGTCATCGTGGTTTGTGTCGTGCAAACTCAAACTTGTAAGACATGTTATACGGTCAAGTCATGGTCCGCGGAGTATTGATCCTCCGGGGATATTGTTCGGACATGTTTGAGCAGATGCTTTGGGAGAACGAGTGTAAAATGGTTTGGTTGGTCACGATTGCAGATTGGATTTGAAGGAGCCTCGGACTGTCCGGAACTCGACACGGTCGTGTCGGCGACGTTGAACGCCGCCAAGGACCTCTCGAGACATCTGGCCTCTGCCGCTCTCCAACAGGCACAAGAGTTGAATGTCGCCACCAAGCACAGCCAGGAACTAGTCACCTCCATTCGACAGCAGGCGTTGCTTGAGGAACCGGATCGTTTTCATCACACGTCTGATTCGTTTCACGACTCCATTGATCACATTTTAGAAGTAGGTATTATAGTCTTTTTTGTGGGTTTTTATGAAGGGTTTGGTAATGTTTTCTAGGTATGTAAACTGTTGCGTCATGTGGCCGAATCGGAGAATCTTCAAGTGTCTGCACGCTTCATCGAAATCAATTTGCGCGTTTATGGACCGCAAGTAAACTTTCGCTCGCCCCTGCGGGGATTAAATCAACCGGCACGCGTTTCTAAATTGTATCCGTTCGCAGGTCATCACAGCGGCGAAAACGCTCGCCGCATATCCGGGCAGTAAAATCGCACAGGAAAACTTGGAGGTGTTCACCGACATGTATCAGTGGTTGGTCTCGGACGTCACGGCAATCGTGAAGGACGTTTTGGAGGCGAGTCACGTAAAACCGGAGAAGCAGGTCTACATGTCACTGCCGCGGCCCGGGGTATGACCACAGGATACATTCACATTCCTGTTCGAACCTTTCCAAGTCCAATATAACCCGTTCAACATCAATATCGTCCGTTGCCGATGGGATATTTTATTGAGTTTGTGTTTTGATGGTTTTGTAGAAGCACGGCACGACGTCGAAACCGCTCAAGGCGGTGCGTCTCGATTCCGAGGAACAAGCAAAGATAGCAAAGTCAGGGCTGGAGATGAAGCTGGCCACGAACGAGATGGACGCCGAGACGGACAAGTGGCAGGAGAATAGTGCTGGCACTGGAACCGCGCCCGAAGAGAATAACGACATCGTAAAACGCGCGAAAAATATGTCTTCGATGGCGTTCTCGATGTATCAGTTTACGAAGGGCGAGGGCGACTTGAAAACTACTCAGGATCTTTTCACTCAGGCGGAGTACTTCGCCGAGGAGGCAAACAGACTGTATAAAGTTATTAGACAATTTAGTTATCAGGTTAGTACAGATCTCCAGACAACAAATCTCGAAATAATACGAGTCGCCATTTTAATTACCAGGTGCCAGGTGGAGATAAAAAGAAGGAATTACTGGAACATCTTGATAAGGTTCCAACCTACGTGCAACGGTTGCAGTTTAGCGTTAAGGACCATACGGTGGGCAAAGCAGCAACGTTTACGAAGGTGGACAACGTGATCACGGAGACTAAGAATCTTATGAATGTTATTTCAAAAGTAGTCACGACGTGCTTCGAATGTGCGACAAAGGTAAACTTTACTCTTGTTTTTATTTGCTTCAAAATTGCAATTCTGCAATCTGTCACTTTGAGTGTGGTTTTGGAATTGTATCATAGAGTTTAAACGGTTTAAAATGTCTCCCATCGTTGTTAGTTCGCTCTGATGATGCCGCAAAGGGTGCGGTTTGCTTGTACCACGTTGGGTGGCATACATCTGCCGCTCCAGTTGAGCCCACAAGCATTGCAGCGCATCTCCTCCTACAAGGACTACACCACATTGCCGAGAAAAGCGCCGTGATACTATGTAAATGATGAGAGTTGAGCTGAAAGTCTAAAACTAACCATATATCAAGTGGGGCCGTGCCGTGCCGCTTAACGCAACTATTTTCTAACAACATCAACCCGCAATATAATGCTTTTATGCTCATAATTTAATCATGAGAAATTTATTGCCGCTTATATATTGCTTGCATGTGTCGACACGTGTTGTTAATTTGTTTGGGGCTACGTGTTTCAGTACAAGCTGGATTTCAACAGTGGCGAAGCGGGCGGACGCGGGGCCGGCGGCGATGGCGGCGCATCAAGCGGCAGTGGTGGCAGCGGGGACGCCAAGGGCGTTGGTGGGACAGGCTCGGATCAGAGCTTATGACAAATGGGGATGTCCCGGCGCAACAAGGGAGACTCGAGACGCACTCGAGTCTCTTTCTTGTTGTTCTAGGGACATCAGGCCCGTTAAAAACAAGACACCACTATCAGAAGACGAAGAAGATGAGCTACAACTACAACAACAAAATGAACACAACGCTATCCAGTTGCTTCCTAAACGCGTCGCTTGCGTTTCGACACCATTGCGTTGTTTATTGGTTCTCGCAGCGCGTGCGGTTTGACATTTTATTTGCATTCTCGCTACACTCGCTACACTCGAGCATCGAGCAAATCTGCGTTTGGCACATGAGCTACAGCAGCTGCAAGCCGAAGGAGAGATGTGACTGACGATGATTATATCAATTCCTATTGCTGGTTTCTTTAGCCGACGTCCTGAGACTTCTCCAGATATCTGACGCTTATCAGCGCACGATCGTTTCCCTTTGCTGTCTGTCTTGACAATAGGACCACCCAGATGATCTAATCGTAAGAGGAATAATAATACAGCTAAGTACAAAACTTAACAACTCACTCAAAATGCTTTGCGTAACCAAAAGGGGTACATAGTTATAAATTTCTAAGAGTTGTCGCAAAACTAGAATGCTCTTCGTTTAATATTAGCTTGGTTTCGGTTTTTAAGTCTCTTTCGAATTGGTCTTAAGGAAAACTTCAGTCAGCTCACCGAATTTATATTGGCATCAATACTGTGTTTTTGATTAAAAACTGTCTGAAGTTTTGTTTATAACTAAAGTCATGACCATTCTTAAAATTTCCTACTAATATTAATAAGACTTAACTATATCGACTAACATTTTAGGTTCACATGTACTAACAATGTGAGGAATGAAATTCCCAGTTGACAAGACGAAAAGTAAACGATTGCTGGAACGTTTTGCAGACAATCGAAAACGTAAGCAACGTGTTATTTTTATAGGTTTTATTTGATTAGCATTCTTGGGACCCAATTTATACACCAACTGCAAAGATGACGCTAGAAAAGTTTGTAGAAACCAAATTGGTCATATCAAATCAAGCCGATGTCGTTTGTTGTGCGCTTTGATTGTCTGCGAACGTTTCAAAACGGCGGCACAATACTGTTGCATACATGGTATTTAAAAAAACAATCATAAAATGACTGTAACATAGTTTAACGTACATGTAAGTCTCTATAGTAACCCAATCATAAGCTAGATAAGTACCTTAAGAGTATATTATTTAATAACGAGAAGAAAAAGGTATTAATATAAGATATTCATATAAAAAAGTGAAAACATGAAACAAATCAACAAATATGAGTATGTAATTTTATTGTAATATTAGAAATTCGAGGAAAAAGGTGAACAACAAGAAAACTTTTATATTTTTTGTACAAATAGCATAGTTACTCTCTCATTCGTTGGAATAATTTCTGATCTCGTGTTTTATGTAAAGCGTGTTTTCAAACGATGATTGTGGCAAAGATTTTAGAATAGACCAGAAATTATCTATGAAATTATAGAATATCTTTCAAAATCTATAAATTTGTTTTCATATTAGATTACAATTGACCAAAAGTTCCAAAATGGTGGACATTGTTTATTTTTAATGGTAGCAAAGACTAGTAAACTATTAGAATAACTTTATTCCGTATTTTGTTTATCGTAGAATACGTAACAAACTAGCGTATGCAATCATCATTAATAATTGTTGCCTGAACTACTCGAGGCCTAATTGTCGTCTTGCAATTAGAAGCAACACATTTTCTTAAGTATATCTATCTGTGAAAGACGAGATCGTAACCCAGTACACCAAATTTTTTATGTGCACACAATCAACGACGCTCGCGTCAAGATTCAACTAACTGCCCATGAATATGCGACATTTCTGTGACGGAAATCAACTGTGCTGATGGCATGTATTAATTAATCTTGTATTATTAACAAACTATGAATAACTGTTATCGGTTGCGCTGAGATATTTAATGATTGTTGTGCCTGCGAAAACCACTTGAGATTATAGTTGTATTCAATGTTAATGTATTTCTTTACATCTGATGTGTGTAACTAGGCGAAACCGAGATGGATAGCATGCTTTTCTCTTTTGGATTTTCAAAGCCCTAAAATAAGTGTTCGTACAATGGGAAAAGTAACTTGATTGTTCGTAGACGTTACTAGTTTTCGATACTTTCCTATCCAGTTACTCGATAATTTGACATCTCCAAGGTTTGTGAAGTAGTCTTACGAATGATAATAATCGTTTTTTCAACCAACTACAACAGCAACAAACAAAAGCATAATATGTAACGTATTTTGATGAACCAGTAGTGGAAAGATTTAGATTTTTTACCTCAAGTATACTAAAACATTGACTAGATGAACAAGATACTAACTAACTATTGTTGCGAGGATATTTAAGTTTGTTGTTTAACATATTACATTTTATGGTGTGCCGATGGAAATGTTCTCTGCATGCGATTTGTGATTTCTCATAAACCAAAACGTGGGCATGTGATGTGATTGGTTATAATTATGAAAAACATTAAGTTTAATGAAAAAATATAACTCAAGATATGTTTATATTCGATTTCTAGCGTTGTTTTTATCTCCCCATTGATATACTTTACAATAACATGCCGATCTCCTGCTAGAAATGTATTTTGCGCATGACAAAATGTTTATCTGGACAAAATAATAGTTGCGTTTTAAAACACGTGTTAGTTCTATACAATTTATTGTCGTGTGTACGTCGAAATTTGCTCGTCTTTATATAAAATGAGGAGAAATTGTGTTCACATTGAGGCGGAGGATAAACCTGCTGGACCGGGATTTTCTAGCCGCATACCCAGTGCTCGCCCTCCATTAAGGGAAGTTCAGAATGCTGATAAAAGACCACTTCGATACAAGAAATCATCAGTGGATAATTTGGGCACCGCATGTGCGGAAACGCAGACATCTTGTCTGGACTCTCCCCTCAATAAGAAACACGCATCAAAGCCGGAAGTTATTACTAAATCACTAAAATTAAGGCCCATTGAAGATAGATTTGAGAGAAATGAACTTTCTGCAGCATCGGGCAAGTCAGCAAAATCAACCGATGCATCAACATCAAAGCCACGTTTAGGAGAAAATAAGGAAGTTGCCGGCTTATCATTGACTAGTAAACATTGTTTTATAAAATCAGATGCTAATGAAAAATATTGCAAGTATGAATTTGTTGTGAAATATGTACATTCTGATGGAGATAATTTAAAACCGCGGAAAGCCGTGTCTCCTATTTTACCCAACCCGGACGTCGGCAAAGATGTTCTCTTGGCACGGTTCGCCGAAGAACCAGCCCGGAAAAAGACCTTATTAAAAGCGCGACGTTTACGAACTGATCAAAGAGGTATATACCAAAAAACATTTTATTTGAATTTAACCAATCTAAATTTTTTATTATGTCTGTCAACAGATGAAAACTCTCCATACTGCATTGATATTTTCAACAGGGAATATTTAGCAGAAAATATGCAAGAATCATTAAGGATGGATATGTATTACACTGGAAGGCGTGGTTTTTTAGAAAAGCATAATAGTCATTTAACTGAGAGGGACCGAAGTAAAATTTTAAATTGGATTTTGACTATTGCGGTACGTTTTAAACTGGGTTGACTTATATCAAAATAATTTCACTGGTAATTTTTATTTTAGGAAGATATAAAACTGAGCGAGTATGTATATTTTAAATTAGTACGTCTACTGGACAACATCCTTGAAAACTTAGCGATACCGAAAAACATGTTGCAATTGGTTGCGATTGTCGCTTGTTGGATTTTACTGAAGATGGATGAAACCTGGGTTCCGTCGGTAATTGGCTCTGTATTAGTGAATTAAAATATATAATTCAATTTCTATTTTTATTAGGTAAGAAAAGTTGGCACTTTATGTGCGAACGTGTACACTACTAAACAAATTCTTGATATGGAGATGAAACTTTTGAATTTTACCGCATTTAATTTGAAAATAAGCGCTCCAAACGATTTCTTCTATTTTCAAATAGTACTTCAAAATGATGTAAGTATTTTGTACAAATTTTATTATAGTTTTATATTTTTTGTATATTTTTTGTTGAATTAGGAAAAATTCACACATTGTGTAAATTACATCTTGTTGCTTTTTACATTCGACATGCGCTTTTCGCAATTTTCTTCATTTGAATTGGCATCTGCCGCCACTTATCTCGCTGCGCATTATCTACAGATTGACATCGAAAATACAGTGCCATTAAAGAAACTGGACAGCGTGCGTGAAATTGTATTTCTGATGGATGTTCAAATGAATAAGATGTACACTGCTAGAGCACTTGCTGATCATGAATTTGTTGTTTACCAGAAATATTCAGATGCCTCTCACAAAAAGATCAGTACTAGGCTACAAGAATTGCTTAAATCTAAACGTGAGGTTTACAAAGAGAAGCCGTTTTATTATAGCTAAAGATGTTTTTACTTTTGATATTTATGTATATTCAAATTATGATATTTATATATTACGTGATATTTATTTCATGATTGATTAAATGTGTCTGTTTTTTTGGCAAAATAATTAAAATTAATTAAACTGGGCCTAGATTTTGACAACAGTGATTTTCAGCTTCCATTTGGATTTAATACCTGTTTGAAAGGATTTGTACATTGTACAATTTCTTCGGGTTCTGTACTGCAGACTGATGTGTCAGTGTTTAGAAACAAGTTTTTCTTATCTCGCTCGATGTTTGTGCGGTCACCACGCGGGTGCCTTGTGTACGGTATTAGTATAATTTTTGTCGTCGGGTGATCTGCACACACATTGTCCAGAATCATTTAAGTTTCTCAATTTTTCATTGCGTTATTACGTAATATTTCTAATTGCTCTGTGCGTGAGTGATGTGCCGCGATCTTTAAGCGCAGATTGAACATTCGCAGAGGTAAAGCGTGCGTGATTTTCCGTCGGCCGTCGGATATTCTTTTAGTATTTATGATACGAGTGCATACGCGTATTTCATCGTTCCTACAATGTGCATAATAAAGGTCCTTACAACTTATTGGATATTCCGAAACCAAAAAAATTATTATGCATTCAGGTATGTTCTCGCATTTCTTCAGCCATGTGAAATACAAATTCGTTATAGACTCTACTTGTTTTTACTTCAACCGCGTGCCCTTTATACAATTAATAATTTTTATTTATGTATCTATACTTACCGTTGAATCTTATTAGATACATTGTTTCGTTTGCGATTCGTCCCTTTCTATCTCTTTTAGTTTAGAAGATATCGCTAACAAACATATTTCAATACAATGAAAAGACCCCCCGAGGCAATTTTTCAATTTTTAATAATTTATTTCAATTGCGAATATCTCTTAAACTAGAAGTGATAGAAATGAACGAATCGTTGAGTTTTAATCTACGGACAATTCTCGATAAAATAAGCTCGTTAAATTGGAAATATAAGGGATGAAATGCTTGATAATTTACTTCCACGATTTTCGAGATGCTGCGCGTAATATTCTCGTCTATCGTCGCCCTGTCGCACATTTTAGTTTAATTCATATCGCAGGTACCGCGTCTATTGCAATTCGTGCACAAGGTTGTGTTCCATCGTTGCGCAGCGTGCTTTGCACATCTATTACAATTCGCACACAAGGTCGCGTGCCGGCTTTGCGCATCTATTGCTTTTACCTGCGGGGTTCATGCGGCAGGTGCAGAGTCTTACTGTGAACTGTCGCATCGTAAATTCCATTCAGAGATGACACTAGCATGGACTAAAAGTCATAAAATAGAATTGTATTTGTTTTGAAGACACATCTATTATCAGCGTTTGTGTATAAACAACTTTCTTATCACATTCTCCGTTCGAGATGCTACGCGTAAGATTCTTGTCGCGCTGTCGCATTTTAGTTTCGTTCTTATTGCAATAAGAACGTGTCTATTGCAATTCGCGCCCAAGGTCGCATGCCATCTACGCGCCGCCGGCTTTGCGCATCTATTACTTTCTTGTCATTCTTGTTGCGTTGTTGCTAGCACAGTTTGCAGCGAGTTAAGCAAAGGCGATAAGGAAAAACGATCAGTCAAATTACTAGAAGCTCTGAAAATGGTCGCATGTCTGTCGGCTGCTTATTTGCTTCCGTTAGGTTCCGTTTATCGTGCCTGATTATTGCTTTTATATCTTATTTCTGTTTGTATTTGCCTTCACGTGTTTGCTAGTTTCTGGGTTTAACAGATCATGATTTAGTATTTCTTTAAAAGTAGTAATTATAATTATTAGTAATTATAATTGTATTATTTATTATGTTCTATCACCGCACCTATACAGTACCGGTGTTAGGGCATGGCGCGGTTGGACGACCACCCGGGGGCGCCGACTTGCACTTGGCCGGTTTTTTCGTATGGGTTTGAATTGCAACTTACTGTAAGGGCGGAATATTTTTCTTAGATGCAGAATTTAATTTTGAATCTCGCTGTATCGAAATTTATTGCGAGAAAATTCCGTAACGCGAGTTATATTGATAGTTGTGTGTATACGCATTTGTACTCGTTGCGCTAAGAATTGTAGTTTTTTTATTATAACACATTAACGCGGTCTTCAACTAGATTCTAAATAATTTTTCCAGATGCGGAATTTAATTCTTTATTTCCTTGTATTGAAATTTATTGCGAGAAAATTCCGTAACGCGAGTTATATTGATAGTTGTGTGTGTGCGCACTAGTACTTGTTGCGCTAGGAATTGTAGTTTTCTTATTCTAACACGCAAACGCGGTTTTCAACTAGGTTCGGAATAATTTTCCCAGATGCGGAATTTAATTCTTTAATTCCCTGTATCGAAATTTATTGCGAGAAAATTCCGTAACGCGAGTTATGTTGATAGTTGTGTGTGTGCGCACTAGTACTTGTTGCGCTTGGAATTGTAGTTTTCTTATTCTAACACGCAAACGCGGTCTTCAACTAGGTTCGGAATAATTTTCCCAGATGAGGAATTTAATTCTTTATTTCCTTGTATTGAAATTTATTGCGAGAAAATTCCGTAACGCGAGTTATATTGATAGTTGTGTGTGTGCGCACTAGTACTTGTTGCGCTAGGAATTGTAGTTTTCTTATTCTAACACGCAAACGCGGTTTTCAACTAGGTTCGGAATAATTTTCCCAGATGCGGAATTTAATTCTTTAATTCCCTGTATCGAAATTTATTGCGAGAAAATTCCGTAACGCGAGTTATGTTGATAGTTGTGTGTGTGCGCACTAGTACTTGTTGCGCTTGGAATTGTAGTTTTCTTATTCTAACACGCAAACGCGGTCTTCAACTAGGTTCGGAATAATTTTCCCAGATGAGGAATTTAATTCTTTATTTCCTTGTATTGAAATTTATTGCGAGAAAATTCCGTAACGCGAGTTATATTGATAGTTGTGTGTGTGCGCACTAGTACTTGTTGCGCTAGGAATTGTAGTTTTCTTATTCTAACACGCAAACGCGGTTTTCAACTAGGTTCGGAATAATTTTCCCAGATGCGGAATTTAATTCTTTAATTCCCTGTATCGAAATTTATTGCGCGAAAATTCCGTAACGCGAGTTATATTGATAGTTGTGTGTATACGCATTTGTACTCGTTGCGCTAGGAATTGTAGTTTTTTTATTACAACACGCAAACGCGGTCTTAAACTAGGTTCGGAATAATTTTCCTAGATGCGGAATTTAATTCTTTATTTCCTTGCATTGAAATTTATTGCGAGAAAATTCCGTAACGCGAGTTATATTGATAGTTGTGTGTATACGCATTTGTACTCGTTGCGCTAGAAATTGTAGTTTTTTTATTACAACACGCAAACGCGGTCTTAAACTAGGTTCGGAATAATTTTACTATATGCGGAATTTAATTCTTTATTTCCTTGTATTGAAATTTATTGCGAGAAAATTCCGTAACGCGAGTTATATTGATAGTTGTGTGTATACGCATTTGTACTCGTTGCGCTAGGAATTGTAGTTTTCTTTATTGTAACACGTAAACGCGGTCTTAAACTAGGTTCGGAATAATTTTCCTAGATGCGGAATTTAATTCTTTATTTCCTTGTATTGAAATTTATTGCGAGAAAATTCCGTAACGCGAGTTATATTGATAGTTGTGTGTATATGCATTTGTACTCGTTGCGCTAGAAATTGTAGTTTTTTTTTATTTTAACACGCGAATGCGGTCTTAAACTAAGTTCGGAATAATTTTCCCAGATGCGGAATTTAATTCTTTATTTCCTTGTATTGAAATTTATTGCGAGAAAATTCCGTAACGCGAGTTATATTGATAGTTGTGTGTATACGCATTTGTACTCGTTGCGCTAGGAATTGTAGTTTTTTTTATTTTAACACGCGAATGCGGTCTTAAACTAAGTTCGGAATAATTTTCCCAGATGCGGAATTTAATTCTTTATTTCCTTGTATTGAAATTTATTGCGAGAAAATTCCGTAACGCGAGTTATATTGATAGTTGTGTGTATACGCATTTGTACTAGTTGCGCTAGAAATTGTAGTTTTTTTATTATAACACGCAAACGCGGTCTTAAACTAGGTTCGGAATAATTTTCCAAGATGCGGAATTTAATTCTTTATTATCCTGTATGGAAGTTTATTGCGAGAAAATTCCGTGACGCGAGTTATATTGATAGTTGTGTGTATACGCATTTGTACTCGTTGCACTAGGAATTGCAGTTTTTTTATTATAACACGCAAACGCGGTCTTAAACTAGGTTCGGAATAATTTTTCCAGATGTTGAATTTAATTCTTTATTTCCCTGTATCAAAATTTATTGCGAGAAAATTCCGTAACGCGAGTTATATTGATAGTTGTGTGTGTGCGCACTAGTACTTGTTGCGCTAGGAATTGTAGTTTTCCTATTCTAACACGCAAACGCGGTCTTAAACTAGGTTCGGAATAATTTTCCCAGATGCGGAATTTAATTTTTAATTTCCCTGTATCGAAATTTATTGCGAGAAAATTCCGTAACGCGAGTTATTTTGATAGTTGTGTGTATACGCATTTGTACTCGTTGCGCTAGGAATTATAGTTTTCTTATTCTAACACGTGAACGCGGTCTTAAACTAAGTTCGCAATAGTTTTCTTTGATGCGGAATTTAATTTTGTATCTCCTTGTATTGAGATTTATACAGAGAAAATTCCGTAACGCGAGTTATAATGGTAGTTGTGTGTATACGCACTTGTACTCGTTGCGCTATGAATTGTAGTTTTTTATTATAACACAGATTGATTTTATTGAATTTGGCTTGTATTCGCATAAATTCAAAATTGTTTTCGGTTTTTATAGTGCGTGTTATCAGTGTTTGTGTGTGTTGTTGCGCACAATGTTACCTGAGGCAAACGGTACTCTGTACGCTGCTGACATCAACGGCGACATTTGGCAAATAGTTTTATTCTAGCCGTCGGACGGTATGGTCGGCTTTACCTGTGTTCTTAATTAATTTCGTGATTTGCGCTGTATTCGATCAATACCTAATGGTATTTAGGGTGAATTGACAATTGAATCAATTCGAACATGGAATTATTTATTATAAAATGTTAATTTATTGTTTTGTGTACTGTTTCCGTCGGTGTATGTGCTAACTCCAATATGGAATGTACATAAATTCAACTGGATATTCCGCTACACATATTGCTGTACAAGTGTTTTGCCAAGTAAGTTTTCTTATTTTCGAAAACATGTGGGTTGTCATGTATTGTCTTTCTACGCCGAATTAAACATTATGAACTGTCATTTACCGCGATATTGTAAAATAAATGCGATAGAAAGGAATGAATTGCAATTTTTTAATCTACGGGAAATTTTTTTCTTAGATACCAAAATCGGGAAAATGTTTCTCAATACCAGTATTTCAGCATTTTTATTTATTTTATTATTCATGACATCCTGCCTACATTAGTAATCGTGAATAAACATTGTTTTGAGATGCATGCAGCCAACAAGCAAAATGAAATCACCTATCTCCAGGGTCGCGTTCAGCAGGCATATCGCAAACTGATAGTGACCGCGTGTTGTCGCCGTATACGTTGCAGTTTTATTTCGGACGCTGGGTAAATCGCGCGTGTTCATCACAACTAGCTCTGATTCGTCCGATCATAATTAGGTATATCGGTTTATATTTCACGAACAATTAACGGCATATATAGGAATCGCGTTAAATATTCATCAATCGCAGATTTATCGTTAGTTCATTTATCCTCGCGTGTTGTTCCGTCGCTGATTATTTTTCACCTATAAAATTATACTGAACTCAACTTTGGAATAGAACTTGTTGGTTCTTAATTAGCAAATATAGGTGCTACCATGTAAGTAGAATTAATCAGGAAATTGTCGTCTCCAACACGGGTTGTGTCACAAGTTTTCTCCAACAAAACAAGATAATTAATCGCGAATCTTTGTTTCCATTACGCGTCAAACTAATAAATTAACTGTAGTATTAATTTGCTAAATCTATTTGTATTTCATCAACAATTAACATGTCTAGTGTAAATTTATGGCGATTGGTCGACCGTCGGCTAGCATCTCAAGCGGGACTATTAAAAAAATAACATTACATTTTATTATAAATTGTTTTCTTTGTATAACATCCTGCCCATTTCTGTATCCTGGTGTTACGTGGAAAATAGATTGTCTTTGTAGTTTTGGTTCTTGTCTTTCTTAAACTTTGGATTTTCTTTCTCTAACACTCTGTGCATTCCTTTTCATTGAGTAAACAAAAGCTATATTTGGAAGTTTTGGTTGTTTTTCGAATGCCAGTTGCAAATTTCCGTTTGAGACACTCTGTATCTTAATTTTCCTTGACATCCATGCATAAATGAGCTGTATTTGTTGTTTTGGAGTGTCTCGATTTGATCTATAAATTTTCTTTTGACAACACCCTTTAATTATGCCACATAGTGCGAGTTCTAATACACGTGTTTTTTTTTCTGTTTCAGTTCTTTCTTTGATTAGCTACGTCATTGGTAAGTTTCAAAATATTATTACATCCTACCTTCGAACCTTCGTACGGTGCTTTGAATGGGAGTCACTTCTACCGCACCTTTCGTACGGTGCCCTGAATGGGAGTAACTTCTACTGCTACCTTCGTACGGCGCCCCGAACACGAGTCACTTCGCTACCTTCGTACGGTGCCCTGAATGGGAGTCACTTCTACCGCTACCTTCGTACGGTGCCCTAAACAGGAGTCACTCCCGCAGCCTGGGGAGAAAAGCAAATGATATTTGTAGTGTTAAAATGTTTTTCTGTTCTCATATTAAATTTTTCATTTGTAACACCCTGTATATTTGTTTTCATTTTCAATAACGTAGAAAATGAATTATTTTCTAATTTCCTTATTCCGGTAGAACCATACGAAGTGGTACTTGTTTATATGTGCGCAGCTTTGCAGGTCGTAAGTCTTGTTTCAATATGGCGACATGTATTCTGTTGACTTGTAAAGTCTAAACTTGTATTCTATTGTTAATAAATAAATAGTAAGATATATGGACTTTTTTGTTTTGTTTTCCCCTTCTATCATTTCAGGAACAGGTATCTAAGAGAGTTCCCTCTCTCAGGGGTGATCCCCACTATAAAAATTGTTAAGGTATCCTGTGTGATTTGTGTGCTCCTTCTTTCATTTCAGCGACAGGTCAGAACTTGTAAGAATATTTTTAAGTGTCACCTCTCTTGAACTTAGAAATATTTGAACAAGACCTTAAAAGGATTGTCCTTATAAGAAGTTCCCTCTCTCTGGGGGTGATCCCCCACCATAAAAATTGTTGATATGCCTGAGTATTTCGGGGATGAAGCGCAGAGACATCGTAGCTGTAGGATGGGCCGGGAGCAATGGAAGCATCGAAATAGTGGGCGATCGACCAGAGCGCCGGAGGCGCTCTGGGAGATCGACCGTAGACTGTCTTATAACGACACGTGCCAAAAAATTCAAAAATCTGACCTCCTCCTCTTCTTCTCTACTCTGTTCTTTTCCTTTCTTCTCTCCTCTTCTCTTCTACTTGTTATTCTCCTTTTTCCCTGTTCTCGTTTCTCCATGTACTTTCTTACTTCTCTTATTGCCTTCACTTGTATTCCAATTTCTCTTATATTTTGTTGCAATTCATATATGAAACCCAAATTACACCTGATATTTTTATATTTGAGAAAAATGCCTTCTATACCGGAGATTCGATCCGTGTCTGCTAGCATGCCAGCAGGTGTACGTCTCCACTCGACCACCGAGTGTTTTTATCATTGTTATTTGATTCTTCTATTTATGTTTCTACTTTTATCATGTTTTTAAAAACAACACTTGTTCCGTCATGCACATACAAATATGAAATCACATGTTAACTTTTAAGCTATTTCTGAAAATTGTAAAGAGGATAGAAAAGTTAATAAACTTACAATTAAAGTATTAAATTGTCTTTTATTGGAACTCATACAAACAAGTACTTTGTAGTTTCACTGCACGTTAAGGATAAACAGAAATATTAAAATGAATGAATAAAATGAATATGTTAGTTGCAAGGGTTATTGATGTCACTCACTTATTTGTCCTACAAGGTAGTAAAACTTATGATATTGAGAAGAAATGTTGCTTATATTAACGAATTAAAGTTGAATAAATAAATAATAAATCCAAGTCATAGCGACGGTAAAGTATCCGACGGCTGGCAAGCACCCGGCTTGAAAGTTACTCATTATAGGGAACCACAGTAAATTAATTAACTGTAGACCACACTCGCCGAACATTTATTGTTCTCCATGTTACTATTAAATTAAAATCTAAAAAAAACGCGATTAGTAACTATTAAAATAGACTTCCGAACAAAACACGTGCTCACTACACCACCGCGCACGACCGACTAAATAGGAAAGTGAATTGAAGGCCGACGTAAACATCTAGTTGTTTACAACTAGATAATGGTAGTACCGCTCCTAACATTTAGTAACTGAATTCCCCAGTCTCAATTTATGAACAATTTATAACAGATTTTACTAAACTTCCCGCATGAATCTTCAAAAACCTCAGTTACCAAACAAAAACTTATGATATTAATGAAAACTTAAATTAATGGCTATAAATGATAAATGGCGATATCAGACGGTAGACATCGGATTCGGCATTGATGTAAATGTAATTATATACAATCTCACGGTATATTTAGAATTAAAAATCCACATGGATCCTATTTAATAATCAAATAAATCAAGATATTATATGCAAATTCGATCAATACAATATAATTCATCATATTTCGATTTCCATTCATGCATAATATTGCATCTCTTCTATTAGACAAAACTATACAAAAACTATACAAAGATGATCTTCTATTTCTACATTAATAATTATAAAATACATACCTACTGCACAAGATTCTTAAACATATCCCCTAGTATCAAACTATCCAACGCTTTTTGAACTGATGGATCCGTGAGTAGTGGAGCGGGTTCTTCCTTTGCAGAAACTGCTTCGGACTCAGGCTGTGCAGGTTCATCCATTTTCTTGTTAAGAATATTCATAATACGATTTTGTAATTCGGCTTGCTTATTTTTAGTTTCCGGTTCAATACCAGACTCTAAACCTTCGGCGATTTCATACTTATATTGAAGATCTCGCTTTTCTTGAAGATATGCTATAAGTTTGTCATAGTAGTGACTTGCTATTTGCCGATTTTCAGCGAGTAAATTTACTATTATCTAAAACATCATTTTGAAAATTAGTTGTTAATATTAGCAATGAAATCAACTAAGGTACCTGAACATGTTCTGGATGCTTAGAAGACACTGACATTTTATCTTTCTCTACCGTAGCTTTCTCTCCTCGCATGTAAGCATCAAAGTTTCTTGTAATCAAAAGCAAAGCATCCTCAATTGGCATATTTCGATGCTCTAAAAATAATCATATATAAATATTTTAATTTTAAACTAGTTTAATTTTAAACTAAACCGACGGTTCAGACCCATACCTTCAGGAATTCCATGTAAAATATTTAGTGTTAATGATCTATGATCTTCATTTTGTGGCATGATCAATATTGCAAACAAACAACCTCTGCTGGAAATATTTGCCAGAACTCTACCAATAGGAACATCATCATTGGGGAATAGTAGATCCACAATCAGACCCAATTCTTTCAGTCGGTGTTCAATGTATTCAGCATATTCTCTGAAAATACCAATTACATGAAAATTAACTGCAAAAATTCAATTTTTTAAGTATATCTTACGTTAGCGCCTTAGCAACAACGATAATCTCGCAATCATTCCTTTCAGGCTTCTCCACTGGAGGCATACCATGATAACTATCAGGTCCCATTCGATCAGAACCCATTGCCATTCCTCCACGCCCCATACCAATACCATGACCTATATCTGGCCCCATTCTTGGTCCAGCATTCATGTGGCCACCCGGTCCATGAGGAAAATCCGGGCCAGGTCCCATACCATGTCCATATGGTGGATCGTAATACATTGAATCCATATCGTCCATATAATCACCTCTATCTCCTCGAAAATCGCGGTTTAAACCAGGACCGCCTAACCCACCACCACTTCCACGATTTCTTAATCGTTTCCGTTTATGAGATTCATCATTCATTCCCATGTTGCCCAAATTTACATTCGTAGACATTTGTTGGTTCTGACTTTGGTTCATATTCTGATTATCCATACCTTTATTCTGATTTGGATGATAAGAATCAGACACTTGCAGTGGTTTTATTGATGGAGGCTGTGGAGGTTTGTTAGGACTATGCATTTCATTCTTTTGGAAGGTATCAGGTTTATTGTTTTGATTTTGATTCTGATTTTGGTTGGGATTCATTTTGTTTTGTAAATTGGCCTGATTTGACTGAAAGGTGTTTGGGAAATTGTTGGCCTGTTGTTGATTGCCTTGATTTTGAAAATTATTCATCTGATTCATGTTGGATGCTTGATTTTGATTCATATTCATATTTGGACTTTGATTCATTCCTTGATTCTGTTGTTGTTGATTAAACTGATTCTGATTTCCCAGCGAGTTATTTTGTTGATTTCTGTTGGGAGGCAGATTGTTTCCACCAGGTTTCGTCTTGTTGGTGTTGTCAATTGCTTGCTTAACATTCATTTTCTTTCCATAAAACATGTTTCCATGTTCTTTCATGATGGCCAGCTGAGCTTGTTCATCAGATTCAAACTGCACAAAACCAAACCCGCGCTGAACAACAAGACCAAGTATACGTCCATACTGGGAAAACTTCTGATCTAGGTCTTCTGGTTTAATGTTGTCTGTAAGATTTCCCACATAGATCCTGGAAGATGCTGTTGCTGGATTTTTCATAAATTGTTTATCCGACCGATACATTCTGAATGCAAAAGATATCTACAACAATTTAAAAGATTAGAATTGATTAATACATTTAATAAAACATAAATTATTAGAGTTTACCAATTCGATCACAAATAAACAATAACCATCAACAAATCTCAACTAGTACCGGGTTATGTACAACATAAACTAAAAATGTAAACACTAGTTCACACAAATGACAGTTTTCTCCTTGAAAATTCAAATTTAGTAAGTATGATTGTTGCGCCATCTATGTTTCAGAGTTGGAATCAATATATGTATTTTCTACATTTTCTATTAAGTTACAGAAAACTGTAGTATGTACTATAGGCAATTCAAATTGTACGTAGTTTTAATTTGTTCCTTATTATTAAACAATTATAAATTAACTTTAAAAGCTCTAAAATTACTACGATAATAATTAAAACTTTTGAATTTAGAATTATCATTACTCTTATTTTAAAATAAATTTTACATTCTTTTATTTGGTGCAAAGCAGATTTTTCCATGATTTTTATTCGCGTAGGGTGACTGCGACCCTTGTGAAAAAAGGCACTTTGTCACGCCCCGCACGGCTCGTTGAGGGTTGAGGACGGCTTATCGAACGCGGGTCGCCACGCCTCTGCCGCGCCGACCCGCAGGATGGCAGCCGGCAGGAAAGTCGGCCATAATACGCGCGCGCCGCGTAAAAGTGCGCTCGCGAACAAAACCCGCGCGCGGCCATCATGCCGACGTCGATCGTCCTGACGAGGGTGAATTTTTCGATATCCCTTCGACTTCTCTCTCCAGGAAACGCATGGCGTTGCGTAAACCTGGCAACTCTACACCCCCCAACAAACGAGTTCCAATTATCATTCACAATTTATCAGGAATTACTTCAACAAATAAATTTATGTAAATATTGTTCGAAACTACAAAGTAATTGAGTTAAAAATGGTTAAAAACATAAATAGTTACCTACAGTTTAATTATTGAAAAAGTATGTTGTACACAAAAACAATTACTTAAAGAAAGAAATTATCTTTCACTTGAATGCTCTAAATTTGGCTCAAAAATTCAAAAGAAAATGGAAAAATAAATCAGTTATGCTGGGGAAGTCAAAACGCACAGCACGAAAACAAAATGTCTAATATTTAATATTCGCCGCATTTGCATTTTAATTGAAACTCGATTGATTCTTATTAAAACAGAATGCGGGCGCGCTCTCGTTCCGTTTGCTGAACGTTTGCAAATAAAATGTCTGGCTCGTGCTTAAATTACGATGATGGAGATGAAATGCAAACAAAAATGTCAGGAAAACACTAAAATTACGCCTTTTTGCAAAACAATTTTGACAGATGTCATTTTGTCCACTATAAAACAAAAATATGAAAAATTCAGCTTTTAGGAGCATGTGTGCAATATTTAAATTATTACCTATACTCTCGGGCATCATTCGATTATCGTCGCGCGTTATTGCATTTCACATGCATTGCGTTTATCTCGACCTCCGGCGCTGCACCGACGATAATCACCGTGCCTCGATTGATAGCGGCGGGCCTATTAATGCTTCGGCGTTCATTAATAGAATTTTGAATTTTTGAGCCCTTCGGGCGGCACGTTGCACGCGACAGCGCATTATGCAATAATACGATGATTGGATTTGCGCTTACTGTGCACCAAGTTGAAACTTTCCGGGTTCCAGCGCAAATCCGGCTTCATCAGTGCAAAGAGCAAACATCATGTTCACTAGCAGGATTACGACATAAAATATTTTTGAAATTTTAAAACTTTTTTCCTCTCCATCTCAATTTATCTAAATAGGTAATAAAAATTCGTTTGCAATTTGTTTCAATTGAGAACGAAATAAAATGTAGATTTATTTTATATTTTACTTTTAAATGCCAATATATAAACAATATGTAATATAAATCCGGATGGGTTCGTGTTGTGGGTACATTGGCAGCATTGGAAGCTACCGAATTGAATATTTATGCGCGCACATAAGCCCGCCGGTCATATTTGCGCTCTGAAACGACATAAACAGACCGGCGGGCCGGTAATTGCGGCCACGTCGATTTGATTGCTTTTGTTTTAATTAATTTCGCTAAAATTTACCGCGGATATTGCCGTTTCATGATAAACTATACATTATTCAAAGTCAATTTGCCTGTAACTCTTTTAACATTTATTTTAAATGCCTAAATATTTAGCAAATTTCAATTGTCTATGACTTTTTTTTTATTGCACATCAAACCGGTGTAGTATGCAAATCATAATACAAAAATAAATTCGTTTCGATTCCCATCCCGTCCTCATCCAAATTTCCATTTCTATTTCTATAATTTTAATTCCCCGCTTGCCGGGATAGAACAAAAGCAAACCTGTTCGAAAAAAATCTCAACATGAAGAGGGCCGCGAGTCACGTTGACGTGCCACACGCGCATTGTACGCTCGCCTTTTGTGCCTTTATTAAAAACACTTTCAGTTTTTTTTTTCTATTGCATCTATTTGATTATACACTCCTTGCGCTTGGGATCTGCATATTTCTATGATTCTATTTAAATGTGTTGCACCCTTTTTGTTTCCCGCACGAGATTTATACCTGACGCCGAATTGTTCTCACGAATGAATTAACAAGAAACTTTCAATCGTATAATAATTCAATTGCAATATTTTACTAATACAATGAAATGAAACAGAATAAAATACTATAAACTTTACTATAACACTAAAATTTATTAATGAAACCTCAAATACTTCCAATGTTTAATTGTGAGGTGAGTTTTGTTATTCTTTTTTGTATGTGCTAAAGACCTCATTTGAATATTCCGCACGTAATGCATGAACATGAACCGGCGTTCTTGAGACGAGTGTCGTTTTCAACCCTTTGGATTACCCTTCGTCTTTGCAAGATCCCTGAGCAAGATCAAGATGAGATGCATAGACTTGGCCGCAATTTACATCCGGCCGTGTATCGCTTTCACTTGTTTCAACCCTTCAGACAACCCTTCCTCTCACAACCTTCAATTCACTACTTTGTCTCATGAGCAAAAAAAAAACTAATCGAAAAAACGCAGTTCCGTTAAGTATGCATCACGTGTCGTGTCCATGTGACCATGTGCGTAGAAATAGAAACAAAGTGTGAATTGCATAGAAATAGAAAATTAATACTAATTGACATCGTGGTGGTGTGGTGGTGAGTTACGAGCGCCTGACTGACCACAACTCGTATGTTATCCCTGCATCCTTTGCTCGTAAACAAAAACTAGTTGAGGTGAGTACTTAAAATGTGTGAATGGATGCAGGAACCAGTTGACTGTGTCCAGACATAACTAAAAGTACTGTAAGCTGCGGGAAGGAAATAATTCATGTCCGCATGTCTTGACATCCGGACACTATCATCCCAAGTGTAAAGTGAAATCGAAATTCAACTCGTAATTAAAACTAAACAATACCTGATATAAAAAAAGATATATTATATCCCGAGGGCACGGAAGCAGTCTGGAAGTACTAGAAACGTCTATTTAGGAAGCCCACAACAAAAAATATATTATGACTACGTGAATATCTTCAGTTTGTAGTAAAAACAAGATAAAAACAATTGATTACAACCAGTTACAACATTCCATCGGCGATATAATAAACCGTCATGTAAACGCCCGTATGTACACCGCGTGGAAGCCCAACAAGACCACCATAATTTAAACGTCAATGCTTAAACTCGTATCATTCGGAAATTGATAGTGCGGCGAGAAAAACGCCTCGACGCGGAAAAGGGAAACAAGAGATAAATCAAAACGATAATTGGACATTCGAACACGATTCCACATCGAAGGTACGAGCATGTTTTACGCGTCTCCGTCCGTTATTATCGAAGAAATTAATGGGCACGTGTGTGCGTCCTGCGCTCTGGCGATGGAATACGGAATACGCCAAACTAATAATCTTCTTCTTTATTTATACGTCGCGGTTAGCGTCGCGGGTCGCGCTGGGTGCGTGCGCTCGTTATTGAATCGATTCGTGAGTTATTAAGTGAGAAAACTGCGCGGGTAGTAATTTCAAAACATGCGCATGTCTGCAATTATTTTACAATCTATGCGAAGGCAAAAATTCTGCATAAACTGAACATGGTGTCAAAGTACTCACTTTTTGAAGTGTTATTTCTCCCAATAACATGCGGAATGACAGCAAAGGAAAACCTGAAATATAAAAATTTATAATGATCATTTATGCGGTTTTTTGGTAATAAATATTGACGATTTTAATTAAAAATACTTTAAACTCTATTTTCAATTAAATAAAATTAGAATTTCAATTAGCGTTCGGATCGAAATGTTGAAAACCGTTCCGAGTTTATTATATTCCCAGCTTTCGAAGTATTTACGCGCGCTTAGTGTTTATTATAATCGAAATTTATTCGGATTCGGAATTGAAATTGAAGTTTTACGTTTTAATGGCGCGCCGCTTGATTCGTACATTTGTCGGAATTAATTGACTACACGCGCCCTCCGCCGTGCGCCGCCACATCGCTGACAGAAGCATTAATTAGTCGTCGCGCACTCACTAGTCTAGTCAATGGCATTATAATTAATTAATTTATAACTACGGCTATGTAACTATGACATTCCCAAAATGAGTGCATTTTTATGTTCATCCACCAACTACTTCCAAATTCATTTTTAATGGTGAACGTAAGCTGTGTTTGTTAAAAACAAAACCGTCGGTTGGTCGCACGTCGATTCTCGGCGACGACCAATGGCAGGCGCGATAAAAATCGTGAAATTAATGTTCGAGTAAACGTCGGATGCGCCATAAAAATATTATTTCACGTTACGGATGGCGTGCGGCGCTATGCTCGTAATTAAAGCACATGTTAATTATGGCTCGGTGCGTCCTGCGGAGGAGTGTGCAGGAAATAAGTATGAATATTTATTTTTTGTTTATCTTTTCAGAAAACGTTTCTTTTTTATTTAGCGCGCATAAAGTGGAAAAATTATGATGTGCGCGGTAATAAAATAATTAAGGTCAGCGAATAAATAATTGAATAATTAAATTATCAAGCATATAAAATTTAATACCATACATTAAATGCAAACAAAATTCACAAATGCATAAAACTATTATTTATTAACGCTGACACTCAATTTCATTCACTTCAATGCAGTACTAATCCAATTTTTGCTTTGATCATGAAACAAAACTGAACTCAACTGAACGTTACATGTTTCTATATTTAAAAATCGCACTGCATTGTTTTATTCAGCAACCCCTTGACACACCACATGCATTAAAACTAAAACTTAAAAAAAAAATCGCCCCTTGCGAGTAATTGTTTCGCGTCGCATTCAATTGTTTCACGTCGAGGGTATGGAAATAACGAGATGAATAGTTTTCGGATACAATGTCATTGCGCAGCCGGTTTTTGTTTCCACGCTAGGAAAAAAAATTTACGACGAAATCGGTTATAATCTAAGGAAGCAAAAAACTGCCAACGACGCACACCTCGGCACCTCATTTGCATAACATGCATAGCGAATTAGATACTATGTCCCGCTACGGGACCAACAGTTATGAAAACGTAGCTGTAGGGACGACCAAAGGGTTGCGCCGGAATCCGTTTGTGTGATTGTGCTCTGAGTGATGCTGGACACCATTCGGTACACTTTTTTTTATAATTAGAATAATAGCATGTGAAATAAAATAGGACTGATATAAATCAATGTGTGTGATGACAGCAAAAAATTTGTGGGAATGAGTTGAAACTTTTGCCATTGTGAGAATTTTAACTTTTTTTTTTGTGAAATAAAATATCAAATATTTTCATGAGTTGATTAATTTAACTTTGAGTGACTTTAAAATAACAGTTGTTTACGCCACGACCACAAAATTCACGATTAAGTCGAAAGTATAACACACGAAGCGCGCGGCTTTTTGGGGAAAGTAGAAAGTTATAACACGCTGAAAGTTGGAAGTGGACATCCCTTATCCGCCCACGCAAGTCTAAATTGTCCATCAAACTGTAAACAAGGCAATTAAAATTAACGCTGCCGCTTTCCAACTCTTCCAAACTCTTCCTTCGTCAGCGTTTTCGGCAACATTTTCGAAGTTTTCGGTGAGGTGGCTAAAGTTTCCACTCGGTTGTCTTTTTGCATTTTAGCTGTTTTGTTTGGAACTTGAAACTTTTGTTTACTCTTGATATTCAGCCACTCATACCTGTATATTCAACGCGAGTCGACGCGCGGTGGTGGAAAGGGTTGACGGTTGATATTGCTACAATAGCTGTAGTTGCGAGTTTCGAGTTTGGAGTGATTGTCTGGAGTGAGAGTCTGGATGTTATAATGTTGCTGGATTGCTCGCCGGTAGAGTCCATCTAAATCGAAACTAAAGGATTCATGAAGGCATTAATAATTACCATCCCATTTTCGGCCCAGCAGTCACGGTATGCACCGCTTTTTCCACGCGGCCATTGAAAATAATGAAGTCGCCGGCATTCGTTTTGGGTTTTCATTCATAGCTGGAGCGTAGGACGTTATTTTCTTTCCGGACATAATGCACAAGCATGTTGGTTTAGTGTGCATGGTCTGCGTGCCAACCACTAATAAATTCATCTCCCATGAGTTCCCTCATGCGTTGCACATGTATTGCATTTGTTTCAGCCGGCGGAGGACATTAGAGGACAATGCGTTTTTTATGACCTTAGACCACTAGCGCACGCATAGGGTCATAATAAATGCAATATTTTAATTCCTAACCCGCTCCGCACATCTCCAGAGTACCTAGTCTAGCGGCAAATGGGCAAAGGATGCAAATCACAATGGACCAATATCGAATGGCCCTCGTGTTTATTACGGACGGTAATCTCGTCTATTGTATTTGAGAAAAATGAAAATAATGGGCAGTGGGCAAATGGGCATGTGCGTCGTGTATGCAAACGGTTGACGGTAAGTCGCGACCCTTTTTGACCCTTTTACGAACAAGCAAAGTGTACATGATGATGAATTGTGTCCCGCACGCGAAAACCGAAAACGGTCAACCGATGTTTTATCGCTTCCTGGTTTGCCCACAACTAGGGGTGTCATAAATTTGAAAGTTTCAATTGGTGGTTCACTGATACCAAACACAACACCTACAAAAACCAGAAAATATGGTCAATACAGTCAAAAAACACAATTTATTAGCTACAATTACATATGACATGTTATAACTTATGAATTCACGTCTCAGTGTCAAATTGGGGTTTCCTTAGTCAATGTAGTTTTGGTTTAGTGGTTCACCCACATGTCCAGGACATCTGGTCAGTGGTCATGTGAAACTTACACGTTTGATATGTGTTCAATGTTCATGTTCGTATGTAGGTACTCGTAATATAAACACAATATAAATATGAATTTTACGTGTGCATCTGTCCATCGTCCAAGCCAACACCACAAGCATCACATCATATTCAACTACAACCTTTGGTTGCATGTGCGTATGTGTGTGACCACGTCTGATCGCTGTGTTTGCATTTCATCATCGCGTCCCTCGTTCCGTTTCATTTTTTGTGCCCGGTCATAAATATAAGATGCGACCAAACAAGCTGGCAAGCAAAGGATGCTGTCATTTCAACTCATTTTTTTCGTCTGTTTCTAACGACATGCAAAGAATAGAAACGAAAGGGGTGCATGGGCATACAGCAGCTAGATTCTTTTCTCTGAGGGTCACGTGCATGCGCTCAAAACAAAAGCGACCGGTGGCCGGCATTAGAAAGGGTCATAGGTAAGCGGTGGTAAAAGGTTAAGTTCACAAAAGGGCTCTGGCCGTCGGACGAAACAGCGAGCACCTGGTGTTTGCGCACTCGTCACTCACATAATCATTGTTTAGTTGCATTTTTTTCGAGTTTAATTTCTTTTTTATGTATCGGATGTGGGAATGAAACGTTTTGTCCGCTGGCCGCTCAAGAAAGACATTAAACGTGTGTAATGCGTGGGCATGCTGGAAAATTATGTAATCTTTAGTTTTACTACTTCACCTTGATCATTAAAAAGTTATAAAATCATTCAAACCTGACCCCCGAGGAACCAACCAAGTGTTGATTTAAAGATCTATCTAAAGATTGCTATTTGTTAAACTGTCATGCAGTTGAAACAAGGACAGGATATTAATTTTTTTTTCGGTGACGTGTGGGCAAAACAAATGAAAATTAGAAGATTAGAAAGCCATAAAAGGCGGATATGAATGACTGCGGACTTTTTGTAATTTACGGCCGGCTAATAAACTGAAAAGCGAAAGCTCACGCACACGTTATCTCTTGAAAATTATGACAGCACATAAACTTATGTCCGGCATAAAATTACAGACAAACCACCCTCGCGCCGCCGTCATTCCAATCAAAACTCTCTTTTAGACAGTTTCAGCGTTAACACAACGTCATTCCGATTAAAAGCTACTTTCATTTAGTTTAATGCTGTCTTACTTTAGTCACAAACGAGGCGCGCGCTTTTGTTTCGCACTCGCTGGCTGTGCAAACACTTGTCACTTTCGTCCACACGTCGCAGGGAGGCAAATGAAAGACGCGCGTCGAGCTTTAATATGCAGATGCTTTTTATGCGAATGCGTCACATCGCGAGAATAGCGACGCGCATTCTGCATTCATTAACGCGGGGTAAAAATTTTCTATTCCTGGAGCGCTGTTTGTTTATTTTGCGCATGCATAGGGTGAAAAAGCCAGTCAAGGGAAAAACCAAGTCGTAGGGAGGTTAAATATACGTAGAAAAAGTGTGCTGGAGTTTGGAGAGCAGAGAGCGTTTTCTTTTTCGAAATTTTTCGGGGCGAATTTTGCTTCCAAGTCTTTTTCGGGCGTGTGAGGGTGAAAACGCAGGAAACGTTCGCGTGGCGCGGTGGCGGCGACGCTTTGGGGTCGCTTCGGCAACCCCTTTCCTTCCTGCAGTTAACACAACTTACAGGAGCTTAAAATATATTTAAAATATTTTGTTTATGTTGAAAATGACAAAAATTTTAATTTTTTTTTCATCAAAACTTTAAAAATTAATGAAAAAACGTGATTTTTTCAATACAATTTTTAATATTTTATCTAAAAAATGTATTTTTAAGTATTGTGGATTTAAAACATGCAGTAGAATGTTATTACTCAACCCTTTCGCTTGGCGCAGCGCTGCGGCCGGAGCCGAGTGTGATCAATAATGAAAAACCTCTCGTA